ACATTGATAATAAGACCCTGAACACCAGGGCTAAAAATGTCCAGAGCAGCATCCAAAAGCTCCTTGGTTGACCTGGTTGACAAGAGTGACCTTAACGTTGGCCAGGTCATTTAATTTCTTTGGGCCTCAAATTTCTCAGCTATTGAAAATAATTCACAACCTCTGCAGTCCATTCTGGCTCTGACATTCTATTGCTCTGAGGATGGGGTCTGGGTAAAAACCATTTTAATAATGTGGAGTCCAATAGTATATTAGTTACTAGACCCTAAGCACACATTGATGGGTTAGAGAAGGGTTGGGAGCTGTGGCTCATTCAAACCTTAGTTTGTGGGAGACGAGGCCATCTGAGTTGATTGGCTCCTTTGTTTTTGAGTGGTATTGGCTTTTTCACAGTAATGTCAATGTTCCCATACTACAGGACTTTGAGACAGTCACATCCAGATGAGAGATGCACTGGGTAGCTGTAGGGGAGTAGAAAGTGGTGTTAAGAAATTTTGTTTGTTTCAGGGGCGCCTGGGTGGCGCAGTCGGTTAAGCGTCCGACTTCAGCCAGGTCACGATCTCGCGGTCCGTGAGTTCGAGCTCCGCGTCAGGCTCTGGGCTGATGGCTCAGAGCCTGGAGCCTGTTTCCGAGTCTGTGTCTCCCTCTCTCTCTGCCCCTCCCCCATTCATGCTCTGTCTCTCTCTGTCCCAAAAATAAATAAAAACATTGAAAAAAAAAAAAAGAAATTTTGTTTGTTTCAGATTCTGGCCCCACCATTTACAACTCACTGTCATACAACCTCTTCTTGGAACCTCATCTTCATCTTTTATAAAGCAATGATAACACCTTCCATACAATGTTGGGAGGATTACATAAGGTAAATTAGAAAAAGTTAAGGCCACTTAGCCCAGAGCAGATGCCCACCAAATGTCAAGCCTGCATCAAACCTTACCTAACTACAAGGGTTTATGCTATGGAAGACTTGCTGGCAGGCCCTCATATCAAAGACTCCTTTCCTTACTTCTGCCTACCTCCAGTATAGAAGGTGGCTGTGTCCCTGGCTACCTCTGTCAGGCCTCCCTAACTCTAGGATGGTGTTGGGTGTTCCCTGCATGTTTATCCCTGATGCTCACTCCAAGGCCAAGGGCTGGAAACCAGGATGACCAACTCATCTGAAGTACATCTACATGGGTAACTGTTCCTACACCCTTCATTTCCAATGCCACTTTCAAGGTGGGGCATTTCCTGCTGAGCCAGAACTCTCTATAGGAAATATTTTAGAGAGCCATCCTCAGGGCCTTGGTTCTCCACTGATGGATAGTAAATATGGTAAAGGTAATAAGTATCTTGCAAGATACTCACGAGGGCGAAAAAACTTGTGTAAAGAGCCAGTGGTATCAGACAACATGCATTCAATCAATGTTAGTTCCCTTCCCCCTGACAACGCCTCTGCCTAAAAGGGAACACCTGAGAGAGAAGGGAGTGAAGTGGAGAGGCGGACTCCAATGATTCCCCGTATGCCAGCTCTCTTATCAAGTCTGAGATAGGTTTTTTTTTTTGTTTTGTTTTAGATTTTATTTTTCAGTAATATCTACTTCCAGCCTGGGGTTCGAACATATGCCCCCGAGATCAAGAGTTGCAGGCTCCTCTGACTGAACTGCCCCAAGTCTGAGATGGTTTTATGATGAATTTTCCAGAAATAAAACCCATCTCTCTCCAGTAGGTCCACCTGTGAGCAACTGAGATGGGGAGGGTGGTCAACAGCGCTGACCCTGGACTGGCCAAGGCTATGATTCAGGTCTCAGCAGACATGTTCTTTGGAGTAACACCAAGGCTGTGTACTGGATGGACACTCTGCCAACTCCCCCATCTGTTCTGTCCAATCCTAGCTTCTTGGAGCTGGAGTGGAAGAATTTTCCCTGAAGGAAAGCAGCCAACACCCTGTCCCACCCTTCTCCTTGGGCAACTCTTTGCCACATAGGAATCTCTCTCACCTGTTTCGTTTCAGCTGCCTGAGGAACTAGCTGCCAGATCATCAGGTTGGGCTCAAGCCCCTCTCATCACGCCCCTCCCTGAACCAGCCCGAAGTCCAGTAGCTGGAGTCTGGAGTAATACCTTCCTTCCGGCTGGCAACACTCCATGAAAACCCCAGAGCTTGTCCTGTCAGCTGGAGCCCAGAAAGCCAGCCAGGCTCCTGCAGTTGGCATATTTAGTGTAGAGCCGAACGTGGGGAGGAGCCTATTTCCTGGCGGCGGCGGCTGCGGCGGCGGCGGGGGGCGCCTTCCAGGTCCTGTCTGGAGCTGGCCAGGCACCTGGGGATGAAGCTGGGGACATGTTTGGGGTAGGCTGCCAGATAAAATACAAGGCGCCCAGTTTTTAATTTTAGATGAATAATTTTTTATAATATGTATGTCCCAAATATTGCATGAGATATACGTATGCCTAAAAAAAATATTTTTTTTTAAATCTGAAATTCAATTTTAACTGGGCCATCCTGTATTTTTATTTGGTAAATCTGGGAACCAGAGGTTGGCCTAGGGCATGTGAGATGATGGCCCCCACAGGTGAGGCTGCTTGAGAGTCAAGAATCAACTTGGAGATCCCGCACCGGGCACCAGCAGCTTCTCCCGGCTGAGGACTGCACCTCGGCGGAACCGTGGGAAAGTTTTCTTCGGGAGGAAGGAGAGTCGCGGTCTGGCCTCATGCCGGCTCACCTCCAGCCTCAGTGGCGGCCCGCGGCTCTCCCCAGCTCGGCGGCCGGCCCACCCGTCCGCCCACGGGCCCTCGCGGCTGCCGGCACCGCCCCACCGCTCCTGGCAAGCCCCGGCGGCTCGCGGCCTGGGGGCGGCGCGGCTCAAAGTGCGCAAGCGCGGGGGCCGGTGGGCGGGGCGCACGCGCGGGCGGGAAGAACGCCGCGCGGCCTGGCGTGGGCGCCGGCGGAGGTCGACGTCCGGACTGGCAGCAGGTGGTGGGCGTCGCTGCCGCTCCCCGCGCGGCATGGAGGGCACGGCGGTGGCAGTGTGCGAGGTGATGCCGGGAAGGGAGAGAAAGCAGAGGAGGACACTGTGTGAGAAGGGTTTTGTGAGGTGACCGCGAAGTTTGGGCAGAGGGGTCTGGCGGGGCCCGAGGTAGAGAAGGAAGGTTCAGGACTGAGGGGATTCGGGGACATTCCGCCTGCCTCATACGGGGCTGTGAGGAGCGGACGAGGGAGCGCTTGGGCTCCCTTGGGGGAATGCCCGCGCGGAGGGGGTGGCACCGGCCCCAGGGCTCCGGAGGCTGAAGTGTTTGCCCGGCGTTAGCGGACACCTAGGTTCAGGTTGGGAGGCCAGCCTAGGGTGTCCCCCTTTGCCGAGAGGGCGCGCAGGAGGGAGGGATGGGCAGCCCGGGGCGGGAGTCCAGACCAGTCGGGGTGAAGTGGCAGTGAGGGAGAGCGGTGTTCGGCCGGCCGGTGGGCCACGTGTGGGGAGCACTCCGGGGGTCGGCCCGGGCGGCTGGGTGATGACGGACTGCGGTGCGGGCCCCCCCCCACCCCCCCCCCCCCCCCCCCCCGGGTCTGACGGCACCGCTCGGGCCAGGGAACTTTCCAGCTGTGGAAGGTGGGACTGAACGCCAGGCGCCGCCTCGCCACGTGGGTTCATCCGTTGAGGCGCCTTCACTGCCGACATCTGATCGAGTTCTTAGCCGCTGGTCTTGCGAGGGGTTCTAGACAGAACAGAGCCACAGGCCAGACAGGGTCGGCGTGACGGCACCCGAAAGTTCTGGCCCTCTCGCCTCCTTCGTTCTCATCAAAGAAAGTTGGAGGGTTAGATTTTACAGACGACAGAACCTAGCCTAGAACCCAGGGCTTCTGACTCACAGGCCGGAATTCTTTTCCCAACTGCTCCCTCACGGATAAAGGAACTGCGGGAATATCGTAACAGAGGGAAGCACAGCGACAGAGGATGTGAGAAGGAAGGTGTTAGACTGTAGAAATGCCTGGAAACCATCGTTATAAACTATGGTACAAATTAGGATATTCATCCCCAAGTTCTCTTGCTGAGATCTTGCCTTTAAGAAAAGGGGTGGTAATTTTCCCTATGGTCCCTTAGTGTGTAAGTGAGTCTACTTTCATAAGTAATGGAATTAACTACAGTCTATTTTCTTTTAAATTTGTCTCATCAAGAGTGAATGTTTTATCTAGACATCTTGGAAGACTGTTTAATTTAAAATATTGTGTGCAGTCTTCACCAAAGATGAACTTATTAAAAATGAAAGTTAATGTCTATAAGTATTAAAAATATATGCATATACACATAAGAATATATATGTATATGTGTTTATATACATATATATGTACAAATTGTGTGGGGTGTATATATCTACCTGTATATATACGTGTGTGTGTGTGTGTATGCCAGGCATTGTGTTAAGCATTATGCTCTTATTTTGTTCACAGTTAGCAGCAGCCATAAGTGGTAGACTGTCCTCATTTTGGTAAATGAGGAAGCTGAAGTAGAGAGGAGTTAAGTAACTTGCCTAAAATCACATGGCATACCAGGGATTCAAACCCAGGCATCTGCCTCCAGAGCCAGTGATCTTTAACTAGTATTCCCATCCTCAGAAATGATGATTTAATGAAAGGTAAAGATGATTCATAACCAGATGCCACTTTTATTCATAATATTCATGTTGGCTTTTACTTGGGGAGAAAAAAAGACACAGGAAAAACAAACTCCCACTTAATTTTTCCGAACTATTATTTCCAGATGAACTTACCCTTTGAATAAAGCAATTTATTGTCACCACTTCCTGTCTTGTTGGGCATTGTGTTAATTTCTTATGCCTCCTTTCTTATGTCACTTTCCTAGTTATTTCTTCTGTTTAGACACAATACTTTGTTCTAAATGTGTGAATCTGACATTTTGCAAGTAAGAATATTATTTTTTGGAAATTAGAATCATTAATTCAGCTGTATCATATACATTTATTATTACTATGATTTCTAAAGATTTGTTTTCTTTGAATTGTACCCTTTTCAGATTTTGAAATATTTAATAATTCACTGGAAGTGTGAAACAGGAGTATCAAATGGAGCATTCCTGGAAGGACAGCTAGTGATTTCCATGGAAGCATTAAATTCTAATCACCAGGAAAATACTCTTCACTGTGTAACAACAAGTAAGTAGAGGAAGAAATAATTGATTTTCTGTTCTGTTATGATTTTTTCTGGTTATTTAAAAATTTCAATTAGTCATAATCTTTTATCATGTTATTCCAGGGTTATTCTATAGTTAAAAAACTTAAGTAATTATGTAATAAGTATTGGTGATAGATTTACAAATGTGTCATACAGGAAAGGTGAGTAGAATGACTCTTATCAGGATTTTTTTTTTTTTTTATTCTTGTGAATTTGTTTTTTTTTTGGGGGGGGATATAAGGGATGCGTTGGGAAATGTCATGTGGGTTGTGCCTAACCAGGTAAATATCCATTCTAATCTTCCTGGGATAACTTCTGCGGCTTTTTCTTTTTCTTGGAGCTACTGCTCTTGCTGCCAGAAGCCTCTTTGGGTCCACTGCTGAGTGGCTTCTCCTTGGAAGAGAATTTCTTCTTTTTCTTGGGGATGCTCTTATTTCCTTCCTCTTTAACATCACTAACTGGTTCCTCTTTGAGGAAAGATTTCTTCCTCTTGGGAAGACTTCCACTGCCAGCTGTCTCTTCAAGATCGCTACTAACCAGCTCCTCCTTGGAAAAAAGATTTCTTTTTCTTGCATTTGGAGACAGAGGCAGGTGGTCTTCTGAGGGTCTCCTGGGCTCTTGCTTTTTCTTCTTTGTGGGTCTCTCATTTGTCTCTTCACACTCCTCTGGGGTACTACTGCTGTTTTCTGAAGACATGAGGGCAGAGACGGCCAGCTGTTTCTTCTCCTTCATGCATTTCTTCTGCTTTTCCAGCTTCCTAGCCATCTCAGTAGCCGCTTCCTTTGCCTGAACCATCACCTCATTCATAACATACAGATTCTTTCGTGGAATCTCTCCTGTCTCATAGAAGGACAGCCGCTCCTCAACTTGCTCTCGAAGTTTCTCTCCAAATACACTTGTGGGCACTCCAGAGAAGCAATCAATTCATGAGGCAATAGTGCATTTGTTTGCCAGGTATCGGGATATGTGGCCTTTGTTTTTAGCAGCTGCTTGGCCAATGAAGGTGGAGTGTAAAATGAGTCCATATTTTGGGGTGTTACCCTTTGTTATCAAGGCTCTGGAAATCTGGTCCATTTGCAGGACTCTGGAGATCACTCAGACACCAGGATTGGTTAAGAGGATTATTTTACTGGTTTAAGAATTCTGAAAAGCAATCTCATTCTTGCTCTTGGTTTTATCCTTCTCTCACAAAAAAATTATATTACATTGAATTTTATCTCCTTTTTCATGTCCAGTCTTTGATAGTTGGAAAAGGGCCAAAAAACCACGGGGGGGGGGAAAGAAATCAAATGATGAATGGTGCATGCTTTCATGCTTTGATAATCTTAACTTGCAGTTAGTTTGAAAGGAAACCTCTTCTATTAGCTTTTATTCTTTTTTTTTTTTTTTTTTTTTTTTTTTTTCCTACAGTCCTGAGGGAAAGACGATGCATTGAGTGACACCCTGGAACAATTAATTTTCTTGAACTTTTGAAGTGATCACTTTTTTGTTTAGTTGTGTAGGTGTATATGAGAGAGAGAAGAGAGTGTGTCTGTCTGTAAGTTTATTGAAGGATACTTTGGAATGAAAGTCATCCTCAGTCCCAGTTGAGACTGAATAGTACTTTAGGTTCTACACAAGACATTTTCTCACTGAACTGAAATGCCCTGTCTTCTCTTTGAGTACCTAGCAGTAAACATCCTTGAGGAAGATATGATAGGTTGGTTTGCTGTTACTGTGCATGAACTCCACTCTGGACAGAATTCCCATCATTTGTAAGAACTTTTTGGTTAGCTACATGGCTAGGGTGATGTTGGTCTGTGTATGGTTGTGTTAGTTCATGCATTTGGAGACAGAGGCAATCCAATAAGCTGGCCAAGGTAGCGGGGTTGATATCACTCAAAGCAGAGGACTTGAGCCACATTAGCTTTTGGAAAGAAACCTAATTCCATAGGTATTTTGAGCCTAATGGACTTCTTCATTCCATGCGAAGTATAGGGAGCATTTATTTTCTCTTTATTGTGTTTATTATCTCTGATCTTTAATGATTTTCATAAATTTTTTGGTAGAAGGAAGGGTAATATATGCTTATCGTGAAACATTCCAATATTACAGATACATATATTGTGTAAGATGAGACTTTCCAGTCATTTTGTCCCTTAAGATAATTATTAATTAACGTTCAATGTGCATTCTGCTGGATTTTTCCATGTATGTGTTCATAGCCTCTCACTAGGTAGATAAAAAGTCAGATTGTGAGTGTTCTGGGATGGAGAGATAAGAGAGAGATCTCAGCATTCAGTCTTTATGTTCATTCAGGCCATTTATTTATTTATTTATTTTAAAATTTTTTTAATGTTTTTTATTTATTTTTGAGACAGAGAGAGACAGAGCATGAACGGGGGAGGGGCAGAGAGAGGGAGACACAGAATCAGAAGCAGGCTCCAGGCTCTGAGCCATCAGCCCAGAGCCCGACGCGGGGCTCGAACTCACGGACCGTGAGATCGTGACCCGAGCCGAAGTCGGACGCTTAACCGACTGAGCCACCCAGGCGCCCCAGGCCATTTATTTTTAATACAACTTTGGTCCTCAGCTGAAAAACCCATGCTTCTTCCTTTTCAAAGAATAACCCTCCACCCCCACCAAGGTTAGAAAGGATCAGTCCCTAGAATGCAGAGTGGAGGAGGGAATCTAAAGACCTGACTTACTCTTAAATTCATTTTTTCAATTGATTCTCCTTATGTTAGCTCCCACCCCACCCCTACTTCCAGGAGTTCCTGATTCTGCATTCCTGAATCTTCGGGGATTTTGTTGTATCACTTTGGTTGTTTCTTGGCCTTTGCCTATTCTGGCTTATAATTCAGTTTCTCAGGTCTCCTAAATCCTTTCTCACTAGTCCTTCTGCTTTTCAGTTTCTAGAATTTTATTATAATCATATCTATCTTTTCCCTGTCCTTGTGGGTTTATTCCTTTTAAAAATACTTTGTTTTCTATTGTTTCTATTGTTTCATTGCAGTTTCAGGAGGTAGTAAAAATAACAGGTATGTTCAATTTGTCATTTTTACCTGAAAGTGTGAAGTGGTGTGTTTGGTCTGAAATCTCTGATGATGAAAAACCATGTATTAGTTATCTAAGGCTGCTGTAACAAAGTAGCACAAACATAAAATAAATTTATTCCCTCCCATGTATGGAAGCCAGAAGTCCAAAATCAAGGTCAAAGTAGAATTGGTTCCTTCTGGAGACTCTGAGGGTAGAATCTATTATATGCCTCGCTCTTAGCTTCTGGTAGTTGCCAGCAAGCCCTTGGTGTTGGCTTGCAGGCGTATCATTCCAATCTCTGCCTCTACCTTCATGGGATATTCTACCCTGTGTTTATCTGTGTTTCTGTCTTCACATAGCCTTCTTCTAAGGACACCAATTGGATTTAGGTCCACCCTAACCATTATGACCTCATCTTAACTTGATTATATTTGTGAAGACCCTATTTCCACATAAAGTCGTATTCACAAGTACTGGGGCTTAGTTCTTCTAAATCTCTTTTAGAGTACAAAATTGAACTCCCAACACAGCAGCAAGTTTTATTACTTGAATGATCTTTCTATGAGAAACTGAGAGATCACTATATACTTTTTCCATCAGTAATTGAAGTCTTTAACATATTTATTGCAGGGTTTGTTTTTTTTTTAATGCATGCTACGAGATGTTTATATGAGTTAGGAGGAAGGAGTTACATAGTCCTCTAAATTTGTGGAATGCTGGTTAAAATCAAGTGAGTTTCATTACTTTGTATTTTCTCAGAACCTTTGATATGACAGTGTAGACTGAATCTTTAAAAATGGGCTATAGGAGTACCTGGGTGGCTCAAGTTGGTTAAGTGTTCAACTGTGACTCAGGTCATGATCTCTCAGTTCACCCGCATCTGGCTCTCTGCTGTCAGTATGGACTCCATTTTGGATCCTCTGTTCCCCTCTCTCTCTGCCCCTCCCCTGCTTGCATACATGCCCTCGCTCTCAAAAATAAATACATACATTTTTTAAAACGGCCTATGGTAGGGGTGTCTGGGTGGCCCAGTCGGTTAGACGTCCGGCTTTTGGTTTTGGTTCTGGTCATGATCTCGTTGTTTGGGGGTTCAGCCCTGCATCAAGCTCCGTGCTGACAGCTGCTTGGGATTCTTTCTCTCTATCCCTCCCCTGCTCGCTCTCTCTCAAAATAAATAAATAAACTTAAAAAAAATATTTTAAATGGGCTATAGTATGAGAATGCAAGCTGGTGTAGCCACTCTGGAGAACAGCATGGAGGTTCCTCAAAAAATTAAAAATAGAACTACCCTACAGCTCAGCAATTGCACTACTAGGTATTTATCCAAGGGATACAGGTGTGCTGTTTCGAAGGGACACATGCACCCCAATGTTTGTAGCACCACTATCAACAATAGCCAAAGTATGGAAAGAGCCCAATGTCCATCGATGGATGAATGGATAAAGAAGATGTGGCATGTATATACAATGGAGTATTACTCAGCAATCAAAAAGAATGAAATCTTGCCATTTGCAACTACATGGATGGAACTGGAGGGTATTATGCTAAGTGAAATTAGAGAAAGACAAATATATGACTTCACTCATATGAGGACTTTAAGACACAGAACAGATGAACATAAGGGAAGGGAAACAAAAATAATATAAAAACAGGGAGGGGGACAAAGCATAAGAGACTCATAAATATGGAGAACAGAGGGTTACTGGAGGGGTTGTGGGAGGGGGGGATGGGCTAAATGGGTAAGGGGCATTAAGGAACCTACTCCTGAAATCATTGTTGCACTATATGCTAACTAATTTGGATGTAAATTAAAAAAAAATAAAATTAATTTTAAAAATGGGCTATAGTATACAGCATTCTTCAAATATATTTGACCTCAACAACTTTTTTTAATGTCATCTTTTGTTCTATAGAGGGAATTTTAGGAATGGTGTTGCTCTAAAAATATGTGGTTTACAATTAAGTCTCTACTGTTATCTTTGCATTTGAAGGATAACACTCTTTTAAAATATATTTTTAATGTTTGTTTATTTTTGAAGGTGAGAGAGACAGAGTGTGAGCAGGGGAGGGACAGAGAGAGAGGGAGACACAGAATCTGATGCAGGCTCTAGGCTCTGAGCTGTCAGCACAGAGCCTGATGTGGGGCTTGAACTGCCACAAAATGTGAGGCGAAGTTGGATGCTTAATGTTTAACCAACTGAGCCCCCAGATGCCCCTAGTACTCTTTTATTTTAGTACAGAGACATTAGAAGTACAGCTAAAAGTTGGGGGCAGGCTGGGGTGTGGAGCAGGCAAGATAATTGCTCTCTGAGTACATTCACCAGAAGTGACCCATTTTCAACGATTGTTGATATGGTGCTTGTTAAAACTAAAAGATGTTTGGGGCGCCTGGGTGGCGCAGTCGGTTAAGCGTCCGACTTCGGCCAGGTCACGATCTCGCGGTCTGTGAGTTCGAGCCCCGTGTCGGGCTCTGGGCTGATGGCTCAGAGCCTGGAGCCTGTTTCCGATTCTGTGTCTCCCTCTCTCTCTGCCCCTCCCCCGTTCATCTCTGTCTCTCTCTGTCCCAAAAATAAATAAACGTTGGAAAAAAAAAATGTTTAAAAATAATAATAAAACTAAAAGATGTTTGAGGAGACAGTATGACATATGCAATTGAGAAACATCATGGACACACTGTGAGATATATAGGTTGTATTTTTTTCTTATTAATGTTCAGCTCCTTGCTAATCGCTGGTGTAGGCCTGCTGACACCTGCCATCCCTCTCCCAAGTGACCAACTCTCCTTAAGCTAGAACCAGTGTATGCTTATGAGGAATGTTAAGAAGAAAAAAGAAATGATTGTCTTTTATTGAATGTTCTATGCTACTTGGGCCCAGGCCTTTTGAAATATCATTTGTCCAGAATCATTCAAAATCTGGAAATCTAAAGCACTGCTGTAATAACATTTCAATAGAACTTTTTGTGATGATGAAAATATTCTATATCTGTGCTGTTCAGTACAGTAGCCATTAGCCACACTAATGATGCTAATGACCACTTGAAATATGGCTAGTGTGACTGAGGAATCTTATTTTTAATTTAATTTAGCTAAATTTAAATTTAAGTAGCCACATGTATCTAGTGGCTACTATATTTGGATAGCACACATCTAGAGAATGGTGTTGCCTCTCACTGTAGTTATTATTCTCAACTTTTTCACCCTGCTTGAAGAATACACATTTCTTGAGGGATAGGGACATTGATTTCTATGGCAATGATTCTTAAATTCTTAACTGTGGGTCGCATCTCTCTGGTGGGGAGGGGTAATGTTCAATTTGGAAAAGTCTCTGGGTGGTTTCTTTTCTTCCCCTCTTAGGTGCCTGTTTCCTCCTTTACCCTCTTCCTCTGAAGAATTATTGCTCTAGGGGTGCCTGGCTGGCTCATTCAGTAGAGCATGTGACTCTTCATCTCAGGGCTGTGAATTTGAGCCCCACATTGGGAGTAGAGTTTACTTAAAAAAATTTTTTTTAATTATTACTCTAAATATTCTGATATTCATAGTTTAGAACTCGGTGTGAAGAATTCTTAGGTAATAGTCTAATATTTTCTACTAAAGGGGTGCCGGGGTGCCTGGGTGGCGCAGTCGGTTAAGCGTCCGACTTCAGCCAGGTCACGATCTCGCGGTCTGTGAGTTCGAGCCCCGCGTCAGGCTCTGGGCTGATGGCTCGGAGCCTGGAGCCTGTTTCCGATTCTGTGTCTCCCTCTCTCTCTGCCCCTCCCCCGTTCATGCTCTGTCTCCTTGCTAAATAAATAAACGTTGGAAAAAAAAATGTTTATAAAGGGGTGCCTAGGTGGCTCAGTTGGGTAAGTGTCTTAACTTTGGCTTGGGTCATGATCTCACCATTCATGGGTTCCATCCCCACTTCAGGCTCTGTGCTGACAGCTCAGAGCCTGGAGCCTGCTTTGAATTCTGTGTCTCCCTCTCCCTGCCCCTGCCCCGCTCGTGCTTTGTCTCTCTCTCAAAAATAAATAAACATTAAATTTTTAAAAAATATTTTCTACTAAAGAGTAAATTGTTTCAAAGAAAGGCCAGCTTTTTAAATTGAATCTTACACTGGAATATGGGTTATTGGCATGATATATTCTGGTTAGTAGTTACAGTGTGCAGTCTTCCTATAATCCTTTTCTCTCAGGAATAGTAATAGCTAAAGAAGCAGCCTTGGTGTTGGATATGGGTGAAAAGGCTTGCCATTTGGTTTTCATTTCTGCCCCCCGAGAGTTGTTGTAGCCTCATAATGTTTCTTTGGTGTCTCCATTTTTAGTAAACTCGTTACATAGTGGTCACCTTTTTAACGTATTGTATCTATAAGCAGTGTTTTTAGGCTTCCATAAGATTCTTTAGATAAAATATGTTTAATTGTTTTATTTGTGATATTTCTTTGTATTCTGTTTCTTACAGTTGCTTCTGCAGGAAGCACTTATGGTGGTTCGGTTCTCAAGAAGTTCATAAAAGGTAAAGAATTACTCTGCTTTCAAGAGATAAAGTCTCTTCCTGGCAGTGAATTTGTTATTTTCTGAAAGAGACAAACTGAAAGATAGGGTTGCTAGATTTAGCAAATAAACGTACAGGATGCCCACTTAAATTTGAATTTCGGATAAACAATGAGTAATTTTGTAGTGTATGTTCCATCCAGTATTTTATCCTGTATTTTATCTGACAATCCTACTGAAAGATGATCTATAAAATTGTATACATACAGCGATGAACAAGACACCTAGGTCACTATAGCTTCTCTGAATACTCTCTATAGTGGCGCCTGGGTGGCTCAGTTGGTTAAGCATCTGACTTCGGCTCAGGTCATGATCTCGCAGTTTGTGAGTTCAAGCCCCACATTGGGCTCTGTGCTGACAGCTCAGAGCCTGGAGCCTGCTTCAGAGTCCGTGTCTTCCCCTCTCTCTGCCCCTCCCATGCTCATGCTCTGTCTCTCTCTCTCTCAATAATGAATAAATGTTAAAAAAAATTGAATACTCTCTATAGAAACTCAGGCAAAATGATCCCAGATAGAAACTGAAATTTTTGGTAAAGTATTTGTGCAAAGAGGTAACGTGTGAAGAATGCTTTATTGCAAATTATTTTGTCTAGTGTTAATACTATTCCCCACATGCCAAAGTTGGTATGGTTTAAGAGCTTTTGGTGACCTTGGCTTTAGTTCTTCTTTCCTTTGAGCTGAGAATAATCTAAAGCTGAAGGATATACATTTATTTTAAGGAGACCAAAATGATCTGAGAACTGTGCTTTCATATTTATCATCTGTGGTTGTCTAGTTTGTGAATTATCCAATGGGCCTATCTTTTCCTAATGAGTGGTTAGTTTACACATTTTACAAAGTAATGTTTTTAAGTTTATTTTTATTTATTTTTGAGAGAGAGAGTGCATGGTGCGCACACACAAGTGGGGGGATGGGCAGGGGACGGAGGCAGAGAGAGAATCCTAAGCACTGACAGCATGGAGCTCTACGTGGGTCTGAACTCACAAACCCTGAGATCATGACCTGAGCTGAAATGAAGAGTCAGAAGCTTAACCAATTGAGCCACCCAGACACCTCTACAAAGTAATTTTTTAAAAGAAACCATCTCCAACTAAATTTGGAATGTAAGTAGCTTGTGGTGGTTTAAAAAAACAACAACTTACATTTGTCATTATTTTAAGAAAATGTTCTATGTGTTAAATTTGGAAACAATAAAGCTACATTAGAGCAGTGTAATTTTATAAATGTTTATGAAATGTATTGCCATTGTACTTTTATTTTTATATTATCACTGTACTTTTATTTTTCTTAATTTTTTAAATATTTAATTTATTGTTGAGACAGAGCAGAGCACAAGCGGGGGAGGGGAAGAGAGAGAGGGAGACACAGAATCTGAAGCAGGCTCCAGGCTCTGAGCTGTCAGTACAGAGCCTGATGCAAGGTTTGAACCCATGAACCATGAGATCATGACCTGAGCCGAAGTTGGACATTTAACCAACTGAGCCACTTAGGCACCCTACCATTGGACTTTTAAAAACTAATGTTTCTTAGTGCTTTAAAATTTTTTTAATGTTTTATTTTTTTGAGAGAGAGAGAGAGTGAGCAGGGTAGGGACCAAGAGAGGGGGAACAGAGGATCTGAAGCAGGCTCTGTGCTGACAGTAGTGAGCCCGACGTGGGGCTTGAACTCATGAACTGTGAGATCACGACCTGAGCCGAAGTCAGATGTTCAACTGACTGAGCCACCCAGGTGCCCCTGAAATTTTTTAATGTTTATTTTTGAGAGAGAGAGGCAGAGTGCGAGTGGGGGGGAGGGGGGGGCAGAGAGAGAGGGAAACAGAATCTGAAGCAGGCTCCAGGCTCTGAGCTGTCAGCACAGAGCCTGACATGGGGCTTGAACTCACGAACCATGAGATCACGATTTGAGCCAAAGTCGGATGCTTAACTGATTGAGCCACCCAGGTGCTTCTCTTAGTGCTTTTTAAAATGAAATCAATTTGGGGCGCCTGGGTGGCGCAGTCGGTTAAGCGTCCGACTCAGCCAGGTCACGATCTCGCGGTC